GTTTCCTCTCGGCTGTAGTTTGTGTGTCAGCCCTGCTCTGTATCCCTACATCCCACACTTCCCTGCTGCTCTTGGATAACACGCATCTTGCATGTCTGCAATGTCAACCAGTCCCAGGGACAAGCGCCTGAGGCTCCTGCTCTGGAATCCGTGCACAGAAATCAAGCAACGTTCGTCACACGGTCACAAAGTTTCCATTTCTCAGCTTATTCACTAACTGTGTTTATTAACTTATTCAAGGTTTGAAATGTTTGTACGTGTTTTCGTGCTGTAAAAGACACTCTAGATGGGAGGTAAAACGCTGAGGCCCGGAGAGAAGGAGAGTCAGAGGCACCTGGGAACGTGTCCCCTCACCTTGTGCTTGAGCTCCAGCAGCTCAGTCTGCGCCCGGTGCGCGTCCAGTTGGCCGTCCCGCCCGCGCAGCAGCTCTGCCTGCTGCTCCAGCCGGCTGTGGGCCTCCCTCAGCTGCCGCACGAGCTCGGCCCGCCTGGCGCCGCTCTCCACCAGCGCTGTGCGCAGCTCTTGGCCGGCGGGCGACGTGGGCCGCGGGGCCCCCTCGGGTGCCAGACGGGACAGGGAGCGCCAGCGCCTCAGCCCAGGGAGCTCCCAGCCATCCACACCACCTTCACTCCCGGAAGAGCTGAAACCAGAGCAAGTCACTGGGCAACATGGGCATCTTTATAACATAGCACACCCCCCTCAAAAAAATTAATGCAATTCAGGCCATGTTGTTCATGTGTTTATTCACCCTCTTAAAAAGCCATGACCTGTGCTTTTTGTGTGAGGTGTTTCCTATCATTTTTTATTTGTGTCTCAACCTTCCCCTGTGCACCTCCCTTCCACCACAGGCACGGCTACATCTCTTGCCTGCCTGTTTATTGTCACATAACGTGCAGCTTCCACGTCTGCAATGAAAACAAGTCTCAAGGACTAAAGAACAGGTTTAGTTTTACTTTGTGTTTTCTGCTTCACGTAAATTCCCAAACATTAGCTATAGATTTTAGCCGTCTTGTACAGGTATTACAGCAAGCACACTCTGAGAGTTTGTATATTTCCGCCCAGGTGTTCTTCATTCTATGCTAGAAAACACTCATGCAACTCCAGTATCCAATTATTTCAGTGTTCATAATAAGTTTATAAAAGTAATTTTAAATATATATCACTGCACATAAAAAA